GCAGCATTTACATGACGGCCTAGAGAGCTGTCATGATGGTTAAAAAAGTGACTTATTTCGGGGAATTTGGCTATCTGAACAGTTCATGTCTTAGAAAAGTATTACTTTAATGTTTTAGAGTTCCTCGAGGGATAAATTCACCCTTTTGTAGCAAAACTCAGTGACAGATGTTTCTGTTGGTTTCCGGCTCCATGTTGGTACCCATACCGATGGGCATCAGCATGGCGTCTCCATACAAATCTCTATAAATTTGGGTAAAAAATTTCTCCACAAATCTCGCATAAGAAAAATTGCTGTGGCCAGAATTTTGGCAAGAGTCTTTGCATATTTACCTTCTTTCATTTCCCAGATTCTGGACTTTATCTAATGACCGGTTTTGATTTTTATTTTCATCTATTTTGAATTGCGTGACACTGAAAACCAGCAATATTAAAAACACGATTGTGTCACAAATTACCAGTCAAAATGAGCTTACGCATGGCGAGAAATAGGTTTAGTCTGACCGCAGCTGACATATACAGGTACCCAATTAAGCTTTGTGTCTCAGTCTTTCATCTTTTTCTTCGTTTGTTTTTTATAGCCTGGCGATATTTACATGCATAGTTTTGAGAAGGATTTGTAATCCAAATGTCCAATAGATAAGCTTACCAACCTTTCCGCTTCCAGCAGGTCCCATAATCAGCTGTGCGTACCTCATGCTTTCAGGGAACTTTCCAGAGTTGTAAATGCTCTCCAAATGCCAGGCGTTTCTGTCTGCTTCTGCGCCATTGCATCGTGGGTAAAAGTTGCTGCGCGCGCGGGGACTGGCCATTAGCCGGCGAGAAGTTCCTTAGAGCATGGCGGCGACACGAAGGTTGACGAAGGTAGGTTATCTTAAAACTGAAACTCGCTTAAATAGAGCTCGGAATTACTTCTCTTCGAAATTAAAATCGTTTAATGATGTTTAAGCAAGAGAAATTTGGGTAATAATGCGCTGACCTGTGCATAATTTAAACAAAACGTCGCTGAAATTGTTGATCGGAATCCTGGTCTGACAAATTGAATCTGATCTCATTTTGTTCCCAAACTGCAGCTGTCTGTTTTATTTAGTTCATAGTTTCGCCAACCTGATCTCAAATGCCCTCCTCTCAAGCAATAGTCACGTATTTTGTAATCGTTGGAAACGAAATGTACAATGTTGAATTTCATTTTGTGGTTGCATATTTATTACATCACAAATTTTCGATAACTTGCAATCGTTAATTTTGCTTTGTGAACTGACCTTTAAGTTTTCCGTTACAGGAACTGACAGACCTCAGAAAATCTGGAACAAAAACTTTTCGTGATATTGTCGTAGATGAAACTAATATTCTAAACTGGCAAGGTTTAATAGTACCGGTAGGTGGTTATTTTCTCTGGAACTAGTTGAATTGTACTTAATAATTTCACTTCATTATTTGTGTTCAACTTCCGTTCACTGTTGTTCCACGAAGGACGTTCGGCATGCCCGAATTGAAGCTTATTTAACCAATTTTGATTTCAAGTTTGATTTCTTATTACATGATACTTGATGAGTATGTATCCTTTCTTCCATGGGAAATATATTTTTTTGAACCGTTATACTTGAACGAGGTCTTTTAGGGAGCCAATGATGAGTATTGATTCAGTGGATTTTGGGGGGCAGAGACTCATTTTGAGAACCCCTCTTACAGATGCTCCCTCAATTCCTGTATGTCTGTGCCGTACGCTGTATGTGCTGTGTGCCTATTCCAGAGCAGGAAAAAAAGTTTGAAATCCAGTTGTCCAGTGGGCTAGTACATTTCAGTTTTCAGTTGCCCCCACTAAAATAATCCTTGTCCAATAGGTGTGCAATGTTCATGTCTTATCAACTAACAAGGACCATCCAACTTCCATTTTCACTTGCCCAAGAGCAAAATTTACTTGCCCCGGGCAATCAGACCTGGGTTTTTCACTGCCCTGTATTCTTGCTCTAATGAATCACTCCAATAATTATTTTCTCCCTTTTATTTCTTGATTGCCTGTTATGCCAACTACATGGGGTAAACCTGGCCAAATTATGTCAAATAATTGTTAAGGTTGATTTTAACTGATTAGTTGTTTATCAACAAAAAAAGTAATGTTACTAAGTCATATTTGAAGCAAAACCTTGCACTACACTGTAGTTACTGTTGTATCAAGTTATTTAATGAGATATAATTGTCATATTATATATTTACACTGTAACCTTTAACTGTAACTAGGTTTGTACACTGGTAGATGTTTGATATGAAAGTATGCTGAGAGATGCAAAATTAAATGAAGTAGAACCTTTCCCCTATGATTACGTGACATCTTTTCTAGCTGTTCTGGAAGCCCTGCAATAAATGTTATCAAAAGTTTCATTTTCAAATGTTGGAATGCTCTGGAAAACAAGAAAGAAGTAGCAGGTTCAGTAAAATTCAAACAAAAGAAAATTAGTGCCAGAGTTTGGTAAGGTATTATGAAACATAGAATGGTTTCGTGTTTGTCTTGTTTTTCTTTCCAAACAACTTTTTTTATTTCGGAATAAGAACGTTCTCTGGTTAAAAATATATTAAAAACATAAGCTTTCGGCTATCAGTCTATAGCCTTTAACGAATGAAGAATGTTTTTTTATTTCATTGGCTGTTACATGCTCGCTAGCAATGGTTTTGATACCAAATTTGCAGATTGAGTGTTGGAATTCTGAATATGTGGGGATTTTTAAAATGTTTGTTTCTTGTTTACAGGACCAGCCACCTTACAATAAAGGTGCTTTTAAGATTGAAATTGTTTTCCCAGCAGAATATCCTTTCAAGCCGCCAAAGGTGAGACTTGTGTTTTTGTCATAGGGAAATAAATGCCTTCATTCTCTAAATTGTGGTAACATGACTTAATAAAATTAACTTGACCATTTCAGTCTGGCAATTTCCCATCAGGCTGACATTAAAAGAACCTTGCATGCAAAAATTTAGCTTGAGGGAATCCAATTTTAGTGAGATATAAGTTAAAAGATAAATTCATACCCCTAAGGGCAGTTTAGCAGGAAAGTGAAGATATTCAAGCCTAGACTTGCCACAAGCTGACCTCATGAGTTTCAGGATAGAATAGCTAAGCAAGCCAAGTGAGTGTCAACGAAGTCACGAGAGGTTAACTTGTGTCGCTTGAAGGGTTTTCATGTGCATTTCGTGCCAAAAGTAATGAGTGGCATGACTTGCAATGGGTGTCTCAGATTACATATAAAATGTAATTATTACATTTGCGTGTCTTTACCAGAATCGAAAACAATCCTGTGTCAAAGACCAAATTTGTTTACCATGCTAAAGTTATTACAAACAAAGGTTTGAAACAAAAGTATAAGGGGGACAAAAAAAGGCCAAATTTGAGTTAATTGTTGGAAAGGAAATCTCCCGTGGCAAAGGTTTGACAAACGTCTTGTGTCCAAATTGCGCAGATAAAAGCAAAACCGTAGTTCCACGTAAGATGCTAAATTTAGGTCTGAGACCTCATCTTTCATTAGTGAAATCAGCGGTACCACCATTGAGACAACAACGTTGCTATTCTCTCAAAAGCATACGCAATCAACCCCATATTGAATTCAACTGTAAGTCACGTTTCATTGCCCCTTATAACTTGTGTTTGACAGTTTGGTCCCCAAGGAATATCCATGAGAGCTCTGATTGGTCAAAGCACAGCAACCCATTTTTTGCTCCCTAAAATTGGCGACAATCAAGTACGAAAAGTCCTTCATCTGGCGGGTAATAAAATTATAAACAAGACGGAGCACTTTTCTGAAAACCTAATTCAAGCCGTATAAACTGAGTTTCAGTTTACAAAAACAAATCCAATAAGCTCTTAAATTTTGCAGGACACCCAGTGACACTTTTGTAATCTACATGCAATCTACATTAAAGGAGCTATGTCACAGTTTGCACATCTTAAAAAGTTTAGCTTAAATTTTGTAAATTTGTCATTTTTAATCCGTGTCAAACTTCTCCATCCTCATCCATCCTCTTTCCTTTATGGTTTATTGTTATGTCTTTGGTGGTGTTCTATCTTGGTGAACTACTATTCTCAGGTTTCCTTCAGTTTAAAGGTAATTTTGTATGTGGCCAAAAAAAAAATCAAAGTGCAGTGACTGAGCTCCTTTAAAAGGTCAAACAGGAAAATTATATACCATTTGGGCCAATATCTTGTCTGTTTTAATAGCAAAAAAATGAACTGAAAATCACAGCATCTGTCAATGGGACCACCTTTTGAGCAAAATGTTTTTAACGCAAACCAGGAGAGTAAGGAGGAATTGAATGCCAGTGCCTATGACTTTTTCAGATTACTTTTAAGACGAAGATTTATCATCCTAATATTGATGAGAAGGGTCAAGTGTGTTTGCCAATCATTGGCCCTGAAAATTGGAAGCCAGCGACAAAGACAGACCAAGGTTAGTAACTTTGATCATCTGCACAGTAACTAATTTCAACCTGTTTTAAGCTGTTTAGAGGTAAAGCTTGGCAGGTAAAGCTGTTTTAACAATACCATCCTTTGACAAAGTTTATCCTGAAAATTGTCCTCTAGTGTTGTAGAACTTTAGTTTAGTAATGCCTGCAGGGAATCATGGTAGTTGTATTCATCTTCTTGGACTGGATATTAATTGTTTTGATGAACTGCCATAATTCCCTGAAGGTGTTGCCATCTCACAGAAGGAATTGACCATTTTCTTAGTAACACAACAACAAGAACGACAACTTTTATTTCACCCCATAGTTAGAAATTACAATGTTTTGGCTAGAGTTAAAACAAAAATGGTGACGAGCGAAAGACAGCAAGAACACAGTAATTTTGGAACTCAGTAGTTATAGTAATTCTGTTAACTCTGTCATGATCATTAAATTTGAAAGTCAAAACCCTAGGTTGTGGCTTATGGCAGTTCATGGCTTATGATTGATGGTCTTACAGGGAGGTTTGTTCATGTTAGCTTTATGTCTCAGGCCCTGTCCACACTACGCCGGAGGAATTTGAAAATGCAGCTTCATTTCTACAGTTAGGCCTACTGTCCACACTAATCTGTCACTAAAACAGAGCTTTTCGAAAATGTTCTTCAAACCAGACAAATTTGAAAACGCCAGTTTTGCGTTTTAATGTGGACAGAAAACATTTTGAAAATGGAGCTTTTTGAAAACAGTGACATCACAATAGTAAAGTGATTTCCCTACCTGAGTTTCCTCTGAACCACAAATCCAAAATGACCGGTATTTGGTGCAGTTTCAAATTCCTCTGGCGTAGTGTAAATTTCTTGGCTTACAACAGTCTTGACATGTTCTGTTTTTCAGTAATTCAAGCTCTTTTGGCTCTTGTACACGATCCTGAACCAGAGCACCCACTCCGTGCAGACTTAGCTGAAGAGTATACAAAGGATAAGAAAAAGTTTCTCAAGAATGCAGAAGAGTATACAAAGAAGCACGCTGAAAAGAGACCCTCCGACTAATAGGCTGTTTCGACTACTTGTTTAATTCTAGGGACACATAACAGTCCAAATCTAGTTTTTGGCATCGTCATTTGTATATGCATTGCAAAATGTGCTTTTCATCTAACTGCTGATAGTTTTAGTTTTCCGTCTTTGTAGTAGTCAACTGCTCCAGTGTTAACTGTGTTTAACCCACTGTAGGCCAAGTTCGTTCTTGCACATTTTGCTATAACTCCTAATTGAATTCATTCCCTGATCTGCACTAATGGCCTAAATCGATGTATTTGGTAATGCATGGATAATTGTTTAATTCTCACTTTACAATCGTCTGTAATGGGCTGGAAGAGTAGCTTCACATTCAAATCGCTGTCACAAATTGCTGTCACTCCATCTTCTTTTCTAGTTATTACTACAGCAAACTAAAGTAATTTTTAATGTAGCCTTGTAGCCTTGTAGCCTTGTAGCCTTGTAGATCAGATGTATCGGAACCATTATACAGTTTTCCCATTTTTGATTAGTAATGGTAATTAATATTTTTGGCATGTTTTGTTGGTTTTTTAATCCTTTCCAGTTCCTACTGATCAAAGAACCTTCCACACACTCAGGCTAACTTGGTTGTTGATCTGTTCATACATTAGGAAAACCAAGATAATGATGTCAAGAGCATACTTTAGATTGAGTAACAGCTGCATGTTTCACTGTATGACAGTTTGAATGGCATTAGGGTATGGTTGAGCAAAATGTTCAGCAGCTAGCCAATCCAAATCCAACACAAGGCTTTGTGGTAGACTTTGGCTTATATCACATCTGTTCTCTTTCTCACTACTTAAAGTGACTGAGGAGTACCAACAGAACAGAGGTGGTAATCATAACATAACATCAAAGAGTTCTGGTTTTGTTTTTGTATTGTGGTTACCTTAGAGGAGAAAGACCCTGATTATTTCATCAAATTTTACTTAAAACGTTTGTGTCCAAAATTGCTTTTAGGTACTTTTATTTATTAAAGGCATAGCAAGCTGAGTTATTTCTCTTCACTGTGTGGAAGCAATGACAAAAACATTACTCTCGCCCATTGCTGCATTTATCTGCAGAGAGGACAGCGAGATGTATTCTGTGGTTAATTTTTTTTCCTTACTTGGTTAAAAATAAGTCAGATATTGACTGTATGAGGAGAGTCAAAAGTGTTAACCCTTTCATTTCCCAGCAATGGCTAACTTGCTTTCTTACATTTTTAACAACAAATTTCAAAATGGCAGGTAATGAGATCATCACAGTGAGGACATCATGATTAAAAACTTAACTCTCCCAACGTGAGGAAAGAAAATATGTGACAAATAGTTGGGAGAATGTCAGGCCAGAAATGTGAAGGTTAATGCTGATTTAATGTGTGGCAATGTTATCAAATGATTTAGTAAAACTGCACATTGTTTCACCAATGGAACTTTTGGTTTTGTTTTATGAGGTGGTAGCAATGTGTGTTTTCTGAACTGTCACTCTAGAGAAGAAATGTTAGTAAAATTCTCCTGTTGCTTAAAGTGTATCCAGTTTTTGAATAAAAAGAAATTATCAAAGTCTTGTTGACAAGCTTTGGCTGTTCTTCAGCTGCATTAGCCAGCGTTGGTTTTAGGTGGAAAACAATGGGAAAAAGAGGCATCCAAATGCAGGCAAAAGAGGAGAGACCCTGATTTGGGAACTGTGGTTAGTTCGGGCGAATGAAAAACTAGATTTGACCAACACCTTCATCAACCCTCTATGGACCGGGGGTAATCTCAGCCCAGATCTCCCATCATTTTAGCATCAAACAAAGTGAGATCTGGGTACGAGATTACACCAGGAGAAACCTTCAACGATCACAAGACGATGCGAGTTATGTGTTATAGACTTCAACTAGTCTCTCTTGTTTAGTCTGTCGAGCGCGACCGTAAGTAAACCGCGAGGAAAAAATGGCCGCGTGGAAACCAGGGGGTGAGACGCGCCCAGGAGTCCACCCCAAGGAGTTCGCGCGGCCATTTTTTTCTGGTGGTTGTCTTTCACTCGTGGTCTGAGAGTTACCGTCACAGTGTGAAGAAAAGTTAAGTACTTTTTGTAATGGAGTTGAAATTTGTAAATAAGTTGACATAAGTTAGGCAACGGAAATATCATCCAAATTCATTCCTTGGCGTGGATTGCTCATGTCTACGTCTGAAGACGAACGTGACAGTATTGTTTGCGTTACTCAAAGTGCGTGATATTTCCGTTGCTTAATGTCACGCTTGACATCTAATGATAATTTATCCTCGTCCGTTCGCGTTCGCTTACTAGATTCAACTTAACTCCAGGTATGTACCAAACTTTTCTTCTTGCTGGGGCGGTGACCCTCGTCGTCCTATGGTTAACTTTGAGGTTTCTTGCAAAACGAAAAGTGCAAAACTTGCACACTAAATATGTCTTCATTACTGGATGCGACTCGGGCTTCGGTCGTGAAACCGCCATTCGTTTGGACAAGATGGGAGTTCATGTATTGGCCGCCTGTTTAACGAAGCAAGGAGCACAAGATTTGAAATCGATGACGAGCGACAAACTGAAAACATTTCAAATGGATGTTACAGATTCTCAGCAAATTAAGGATGTATTTAGACAAGTGAAGAACCTGCTACCCTCGGGACAAGGTAAGGAAAAATGTTTACCTCGGCGTCCACATAAAATGACAGGAGTCATCCGAGGAAATAGTTCTTGTACTAATCTACCTTATGATCCCTTTATTTTCGCGAGACTTAAAAATATTCGCGAAATTAGTCCCCCGAAAATTAAAGCCGCGAAATTTAGTGACCTTTATAAAATCCATTACTTTTTTTCCATCTGTTGTGAGTTTACATTTCAATTAATTAAATGCGAGTTCAGTCGAATGTTCGACTGATCCAGTCGAATGTACGACTGAAGTTCGACAGTTGATTTAAACGCCGCATTTTACATGTGTCGAATCTAATTCATAAATTATGTTAAATAAATTATGTTAAATAAATTGTGTTTGCTCGAATGGGAATTAACACGTCGCTATCGCCCGCGCTCAGCAATTTTTTTCGGCAAAAGATGCGACGTTTAGATCAAATCAGCCGAACTTATTCATTCGAGTCGACTAAAATTAGTATTTGATTCGGCGCATGTAAAATGCGACGTTTTAACTGGGCCTTAGTTACTGTAACACTTCCTCAGTACAGTCTTCAAATTTTCCACCGGTATCTGGCTCCCTACAGTTCTCTGTGATTAGCTGCTTAAGCCTCTTCACGATGGCTTCGTTCTTTTCAGAAGAATAAAATACAGAAATGGAAGTTTAAAAACGAGCGCCAGTTAGTTGATTCGCGAAATTTAGTTACCTTGAAAACGGTGATTCGCCAAAATCGCGAAATTTAAGTCCTGCGAAATATTTCTATTCCAAATTTGCGAAATCAAATTCGCGCGAAAATAAGTGGTAATTAGGTAACCTGCCTGGGGAGATACAGCAAGCGAGCGAGCGAGCTAACGAGCGCGCCTGGGGTGAGCAAAAAATCCTTATTTTTCGCACTCGCTCGCAGTTTCGTTCCCTTCGCGTGCTTTTGCAAATAATGAACCTAGTGTTAATACAGCTTAACGCTGGTTTTCCAGTGACGGATCTAGGGAAGGGGCCCGCCCCCCTTATTTTGGGTAAAAAAAGAAAAAATCACAGAAGAAAGAAAAGCCGGCAGGGCAAGCAAAACAAAACCGGGGCCCCTCCTCTTAGCTCAAGGTCTGGATCGGCCATTGTTTTCACTAGCAACGGAGTTAGAATCGGAGTAGCAGTCGGAGTTGCTAGTGAAAATCGAAAATCTTAATTTTCCACCAAGAAAGTTAACTGCAGAATACCCTGCCACTCGATTTCATTCACTTGATCATTCATGCGCATTGTGCGCAAGTAGAATTGAGAACAATAGTGGCGGGGTATTCCGCAGTTGCTCTATAAATAGGCTATTTTTGCAATATTCGAATCATCGTTAAATCTCAACGTTAAAAGGCATTCGTCCGAAAATTGGTGTTCTAGCTATTTAAAACATGCCCTTTCCAGTTCTGAGATTCATTTAGCTGCAAAAGTTTAGAAATTACGTTCGCGTGACCAATTGGTGTAAAAGACCAATTTAAGCTCATTAACTCTAATGCTATGATAAAATTTTAAATATATCTTTTTAAACAGAAAATCGGTAGCAGGGCACCCAAAATAACATTAAGAAGGTAAACTAGTCGCGTACAATCAAAAAGTGTGAGGGTATTTGAAGCACTCGTGCAACCTCATAAAAATTCTTGTTCTTCGTGCAAAACTCGTTACCAGGGCCCCAACGAGGTTAGTACTCACGAGTTCTTCACTTTCAAGTCAGTGATGTTGCTGAAGGGCTTTCGTGTTCACAACGCGACTCTATGGACCACCCTAACAAAATAGAGGTATCAGATCCTGTCACTATAATTAACAACGCTATGAGGACGCAATATAATAGAGGAGCTGGTTCCTCTGACTGGATGCTTTTTCCAGTAATGCAACAAAATAGACCAATTTCGATATATTAAAATTCAGCCTAAAACAATAGACCTCAGTGCGAGGCTCTGGGAAATAACTACAGAGTTTGTGGGGTTTATTCCTTAAAACTTCGTGTTGAGGTCTATTGTGTTAAGCTGAATTTTAATTGATCGAAATTGGTCTATTATTTTCAACTTCCGCTCGCCGTCGTAGGCATCCGCCGCCTTCGTCCATAGTGATGACCACTAGCATGACAATTTGTTGTTCGTCGGCACTCGGCAAGGGTGAGAATCAACGTCTTCTGTATTTGTTTACCCAGTTAGTTCTAAATGCCAAAATTAGGATCTTTTGATGCATGTTTTCATTTTTTTGGTTTTATTTACGTTTGGATGGATATAAATACTTTGTAGAACTTGTAACCAACAGCTCCCGCGATTCGATTCAATACTGATACCGATTGCAAAATTCGAAGTTTCATCAAACGCGCATCCATTCTGTACTTTTTGTTTGGCAGTTCGAACGGCTGCCATCATCCGTTGGAAATATTTCTTAGGCCATTCGAACGGGTAGCATCATCAGTTCGAATGTTTTTCTTTAGTCGTTTGAACGGTATTTGAAACCGTTTTAAACGGCTTTAACATCCTTTCCCCATCCGTTCGCTAGTCCTTCGCTACCCATCTGTTAGCCGTTCGTTCTGACCAATTAACGGATATCTGTTAGTGTACGTTTTCGCGTGAGAGGTCACATTCTATCGTTTTTTATTCGTAATTGTACCTTATTATTTATGCAAGTGAATATATGAAAGCAGGCGCCATAATCGGCGACGGAGACCGTAAGCGCGCGCCATTT